GTGTGTGTGTGCGCGGGTGGGTGTGTGTGTGTGTGTGTGTGTTTGTGTGTGGGTGTGTGGGTGTGTGTGTGTGTGTGGGTCGGTTTGTGTCGTTTGCCTCTCGATTTGTTTCGCAATGTGCCAGCTGCCAGAGGCCGACAGGCCTCCAGGGGTTGTTGCCCGTCTTCCGAAGGATTCGAGTCGGCAACGCACTTGCTTTTGTTGTTCGAAGTCGAAGCCCTGAGTCTCGACTGACATGTGCCAGTTGAGAGTCTGCCGACATCCCACCCCAGGCTACTATGGGGTGGCTCTGCTCAATGGCTGCCCACCGCAGGCACACAAGGGCCCTCACCTGGGTCGGAGGGCTTCCTGAGTTGACCAGGGTTCGGGCAGGTCCGTCTGATGGTAATAGTATAGGCATTGGGAATCACAGAATCACAGCAGGGCTTCCACATCTGAGAGATTCGCATGAGTTTGCCAGGTCGTCAGCTGGAGGCACTCTCCCCGATCTTGTGACAAGTTGCATGTGGTCATGTTCCAAAATCTGTCAACGTTTGGGAATTAGTGGACAGACAAAAACACATATCGAACAACCCAGAGCGTCCAGCGGCATCTGTCACCACCAGAACCAACAACGGCACAGACAAGAGCGGCAGCCGGGGGAGGAGGAGGAGGCACACCTGCACTAGCAAAGCACTGGCAACGGAATTTCGACAGAAGCCACAGCAGCATCAACAGCAACAGCGACGGCAACAGCAAGAGCAACGCCATCAACTACCGAAGAGCAAAGCACAACAAGGAGCACCACAAAGCCTTTGCGAACATGGCAGTGGCAGTCGAAACCCTCCGTCCCCGAGCAAGTCAACAGAATTGACCCAGCCATGCTAAAACACAGACACGAACCCGGAGGACGTGAAAACCTTCTGGCGAGGGTTCGGCGAACTGCTCGACAGTGGCTCCATGGCGCGCATGGCGACCAACAACCTCATCCTTTCGGAGCAGCCGCAGGGACCAATTCATTCTGAATACGGGAAAGGGCTTGTGCTGACGGCCATATCGCAAGCAGTGGTATGCTAGCAGAGCTAGCCGCCAATGTCATTCTTGCACAGTCAAGTTACCTCAACCCTCTTCCAAGCCTTGCCCTCCGGGCTTGAAGGGCTGCGACCAGTCCTTGAACCCCGGAACCATTACACAACACTTCGGCATCGATATTCCCACAGCCCCGTGTCCGTTTTGAGGATTTTCTACCAAACCGGCCGGCGGCTGCCCTACGTGCGTGCACACGGCCTCTACACTGAGGTCTCGTCTCGTCATTGTCAGAACCAGACCCCAACACCCTAGCCACCGGGAAGCCTGATTTAGCCTTCGGAATGAGAGGGCTACGCATACACACCTGCAGGACATAACGGCTTCCGTTGCTGTATATGGGATGAGAGACTATCAGGCATCTCTTCAATTTTTCCCAAGACTGTAAAGGGTGAGTGAGTACTGCTGCCAGCTGAGGGGGTTGGAGTGTTAGTGTTTGATCACGGCTGCGGCTGGACTTTCGGAATTCAGGGTTCAAGTCATGTAAGCATTGGGATTGAAGCCGAAGGGAAAACGGCTTCGGGACTTCAATTCAGTGGAGAGTGATTTTCACAGAACTTGTGTCCCAGTGCGCAGGGTTTTCAGATACAGACTTTGGACTGCAGGGGATGTAGTCTTGCTGCATGTATGTTGGCTTACGGATTTCCTCCTGCAGCTGAGCATCTCTGCCTCCAAAGAGGTGTCTTATTCGCCCACGCTTCTCGACCAAGTACTGTTCTGGAGGCCGGGCCTCCACCCAAGGTGCTGCTTTAGTATGCTTTAGGTTTTATATCAAAGTCCAACAGTCCATGTGCAGCAAGATACATTCGCTTGCGCTTTTGTCGCATCTGCATCTTGAACATGGGCAGCTATCAGACCTTGCAAGGGGGTTTCGAGACAAAAGCCAGCTCGAACCAGGCTCCCCCTTAGCTGCACACCCCTGTGCGGCGTCTGCGAATCAGGGGTCCCAAGCGAGCGGGGGTCGAAGACATGAGATGTTCACAAGCTGCGTGCAGGTCGCCGCTGTTTGCATACGCTCCCTGGCTCCTTTGCCTGGGCCTGGGGGTTAGGGTTTCCGTTGATAAGATTCGGAACGTCGAGGGAACAAGCCAACCTAGGCCTTGCGTGAAGATATGACAGATGGATAAGCTTTCACAGGCCAGGGGAGCCGCGAGTAGCCTCTGTAGCCTGTGTCTGTGCAACTGTGTCATAAGCCATCATGAGCCCTGAATTCCCCCAACCTTGTGCTATCAGCACTCGAACCCTATTTGCCATGCTTGCGGCAGCTGAGGCAACTCTTCGCTGTGCCATGTTTCGCTTTCTGGAAGGCTGCATGGCCCATGTTGACATGGGCTCTGAATTCTCAGCGGCTGCCGGGGAGTCAGGATTTCAATGCAGGGCTGTCGAAGGTTCCAAAAAGCCGATCGAACGGAGGCGGGAGGTACGATTCTGCCCACAGCCGTGTACTGCTGTGGACCCTTAAGCTCCAACAGTGTAAGCCGGGGCAGGCAAGACAGACAAGAATGGCATGGTCACGTCCTTTGCGTCGACATGAACCTGGAGCCCTGAAGTCACCAGCCCAAGCCCCAGATCTTGAATGCCTGATCCCAGCTCTCACGGAGGTTTCGGGCAGTATCCGCTGAAGTTCTACTTCCTGGAGGGCTCGGAGAGTGTTCCCTATGCCAAGGCAGGGCCCAAAGGCGTTCACAGGCCGCCTGAAGACCCGAGGGAGCGCAGCGACCCAACCCCCCCCCCCTGGAGGCGGTCTCCTTCCGGGCCATTGCCATGCTTCCTCACGACCATGCCCCTTTGTGTGAAGGGCTTTGTGTCTGACAGTTCTGTCTTTGGCAGAAGAGCTCTTGCTTCTGGAAAAGGAAGCCCATGGGGTCGTGAAGGGCTGGAGTTGGCAGGTAGATGTACTGACCTTGTCCTGGCATGGCCTGAGGCCTTTGTTTGGAAATGTTATCTCTCTTTTCTACTCGCCGGTGGTTGGTTGAGACTGGGTTGGGGCCTGATTCGAGCAAGGATGTCTTTATCCAGTCTTGTCGCGAGGCCTTGCCCGTCTCGTGTGAGCTTGAGAGTCGACAAGCCTCTGCCAAGCCCTAGTGACCGCAACTCCTGCTCTCGATCAAGCGCATATGCTCAGCTCTGATTCGAAGTAACTCTGCAATCAACGAAGGGTTTGGCTCTGCAGGGGTTTAGGGTTGACATAGGCCCATATAGGCCCGCTCCATTGTAGAATCATAGTAGAAGTTTGGATTTCGCGTCTTGAATATTGAGCCGTGGAAGCAGGTTAAGGCTTAAATCTGGGTCTGTCATTGAAAAGCGTAAGCCCTAACCGCCCTAACCAAGAGCTCCTCCGAGGCGTTGATGTCCTTCTACGAGCTCTACTCCACGGCGACCCCCCTGCTGCTGCCATCTGCAGAGTGGATGTACCGCCTGCCCGGGGACCTATTCGGATCGTTATTACTCATCACAATGAAGGGTCTAGCAGACCAGCGCCGACCCCTTTCAGGCTTTACATGCGCGGCCAGCTCTCCGTGGGCGAGCGTGCCCGGATCTGGAATTGGCGGGCTGAGTCAGTGGCAAGGGCTTGACGATACCGCGAAATAGGTTGGACACGATCTGCGATCGGAGCCACAGATGCTTCAACGATGCTTCAGATTTCCGGCAGCTCATGGCTTTCGTTGGGATCCTCCTGTGTTTCTGCCAGATGCTTTGAAGGCGAAGGCTCTAACCCGTTTGACGAAGGCCGCGCAAAGAGCTTCCAGGGCCCTAAAAAAGAAGCAGGCCCATATCTTCTTTGCCTGGAGCTCACCAGAAAGATCCAGGTCCCTATTACGCAAACTCTCGAAGAGGGACCCTGAAAGTCGCGAAGTTTCGATCTCCCCATGCTGCAGGCTGGTACCAGTCCATCATGCCCGGCCACCAGCCATCTTACTGCGAGTTCGAGGACCCCAGGGTGTGGTGTGACGCAGCTTGTTCATTGCATCCCGTCTTGTCGATCCTGCAATATGCTGTTTCTGCCTTTGGGAGGTGCACCGGGACCTGTAAGCCTAGGATCCTCGCAGAAAGAACAAGGTGAGATGCGCTCGGGGCTCCCCAATCAAAGGTAGAATCGAGGATCTGTCCTCAGCCCAAACAGCACTCCGTGGCGCCCGAGTAGCCGGAGCGGGAGCCGGACAGCCAAAACAACATGCCCAGACCGACGAACGGCGATGACGCCCGCGACTGCGACGATGGAGGCGACACAGCTCAGAAAGATCTGCACGGCTGGATGGTTGCGACAGGAACTAAGGTGCGGTGCAACTGGGTTGACCCGTCGAAGGAGGGCTCGCTCGTCGTTTGGCACTTCGAAGCCGCCTCAAAGGCTTGCGAGCGTCTGCAAGCCAGAGGCCCAAGGCATCCCGAGATCTCCGCTGGTAGGGATGGTCCGAAGTTGCAGAGCAGGCGATAATTGTCAGGGCAGTCTCGGAAGCCCTCATGAATCAGTTGGTGGTGCTGCGTGTCGACAACTTTTCTGGCTCGGGAGATCCTGTGTTTGGCACCAAGCACGAACTTCGTCGGAGCTTCAGGGCACCTGACCTCTTTGCGAGACTTACGAGTAGCTTCAGGGGCTCCCCTGGCACGCCTTGCCTCAAGAAGGTGACGCTGCAAGGTGGCTTCCACTCAGCCTCATCCGTGGCCACCTTCTTGCAAGTAGCCAAGCCACAGCTCGAGTCCTTCCGCTGCCGGCAATGCCTCTTTCACGGCCGCAACTTCGAGATGCTTGTGAAGGCCTTGAGAGGAGTCAGTACGAAAAGTCTGGTAGAGTCTGAGACAGGCGGAGCAATCGGCGGCCGCGATCCCTTCGGTCTTCTGGCTGACTCTTTCCCGAGTGAAGTACATGTCTGGAAAGAGGAGCCAGCAATTAATGCAACTTTGTGAGAGGCAGTGCATTCTGCCGAGTGACCGACTTCGTGGGCGGCCGGCCGTGGATACTGAGAAAGGCATCGTCTACTGTCGTATCCCTTCCGGGCGCCAGGGCGACTACAGGGGAGATGGCCTGTGGTGGGAGGAGCTCAGGAACACATGCGAGTGTACGGAGGAGTGGGACGTCGGCCAGGGATAACCAAGGAGCAGTGCCTCGAGTTCACGGAAGGCTGCGGGATAGAGCTGAACGACAAACCGGACGACCAGGAATGCAGCATGATGGACGATGGCTTTCGCAGTGGTGTCGATTCGGAGACTGAGATGGGCACAATCGTTGTGCAGCTAGAAATTGACAAGTCTGCCGGCGCCACAGGCACGTTGGTGATCCAGGCACGCAAGATGGATGGTCGCGAGTTCGCGGCGGTGACGCTGGATGCCAGCAAGACACTGGTGCACACACTTGTAGAAGAGTTGGCCTCAAAGCATCCCTGCTCACCCGCCGCTTTTTGCTTTGTGCTGCCTGGTGGCACTGGCATCGATCCCCTCGAGGCTGCCAGCCAACTATTGGCAGTGGTCTTGGTTTACGGGAAGGCGATGAGAGCATACACCTGAGTCTGCCATCTCGTGCTGTGTGTAGGGCACCGGTCGGTACTTGGCTGCGCAAGGCTTCGACGACAAGCTTCAGCTCGCCGCACCGTGCTGTGGGTCAGGCAGTGCCCTTTGCCGTTGAAAGTCCTCTGGCTAAGCAGCACGTCTAGAAGAAAAAACCACAACACCTCACCCATCCCAGTCCAATGTCTTGAGCTCGACTGACTTGTTGTACAGCATCCTTGCGCGCCTTGTATGCCATTTTGGAACTGTGCAAAGCCCTTTGCAACTCAATGTTTTCGGTTTGGAGTTTCAGGCTTGGGCCGATTGCGCGAGGAGCACATACTCAAGCGAAGAGCCATGAAGGAGCAAAGACGACGAGAGCGCCAACAGCATAATGACTAGTTTGTGAAGCCTCTTTGTCCTATGCAAAGCGAGGATACACGTCTTTCCCGGTAGAGTCGCTGCAGACCGGATGCAAATAAGGCTTGGGCCGTGATGGTTGTGGCAGAAATCATCTCATCCGAACCTCCTCCGGTTTTAGGACACGAGGCATGGAAGGATAACCCTGAAGCCCCCTCTTCAATGCCCTAAATCTTCAAATTACTAGCAGATTTGATTGGGGGGATTTGGGCTTTCATTAGCCGTCATTGGCCTTTGCTAAGCCGGAGCCTTTGTACTGGTAAATGCATTCAGTGTATACGTACACCGTAGTATCTCCAAATCCACGTTCGTTGACTCAAGATCTGCTTAATTTCTCCAGCATCGGCAGGACGCAGGGGAAGAAAAGAAAGCCCGAAACTCAGGTCAAATCGTCGATTCGGATTCGATTGCGCTGTAAGGTACAGGCTTTGAAAGCAGAGCTCGTAGAGAGTTGGGCCAACTGGGACGTGCCTTTGTCACGTTTTGTGCACATTTTGTTGGTTCGAGCACGAGCATCAGTGCGGGGGCGAAGGAGGGGGGAGGAGCTCCCGGAATAACCTGATATGCAGAAAGGTCCATCGTAGGAGATGGTATTCAAGATCTAAGTCTAGATTACGAAACAAAGTTCTGGCCAGGATAAGGCAGACACAGAGCAAGCTGCCAGGGGGCTCAAGAAGAACCTTAAGTTGGCCTGAAGCACCGTGAAGCGTTACAGTTGTGCTGGATTAGAACTGCGAGATGATGCGTGACATGCTCAGGTGTGGCTGAGTGATGATAAGTGCAGGAAAAGCTGCTCAGACAACGAGTAGCTCACAAAGCTTGTCACACACGTGCAGGGCAATGCGCAGCTTGGTTGGACGAGCTTAGGCGAGGGCGTGAACAATTCGAGCCGTCATGAAGAGATGCAAAAAAAGCTATAAGACTTCAACGGTCCTGCGCGGTACCGTAGATCCGCTAGATCTCTACTCTCGACCTCCCGCCTTTCTGTGCAGATGTCCGGTGGTGGTTCAGGCTTGTTTGTCGTGTCGTCAAACCTTTTCCATGCAGTCTCCGAACCTTGCCGGGTGTTGTCCGAGAACGAGTGTCAAAACCGCAGTCCCACGCATAACGTCGTAAAGCCGATATGCGACGACCTCTCCCCGGCGAACTGAAGATGTCGTCGCACTGAACCCAATGAAACTGAAGATTGCAAGAAAGACATGCTACAAGGTGGGTAGGAAGCACGAAGATGCAGCCCACAAAAGCCGGTTCATCAAGACCTTGACGATGACACACTGCATATCCCTGAAATGTCCTCCACAACGGTCGCCTTCGATTTTTACAAAACCTTCCCGGAAGGTTCTAGCTTGGTAAATATAGTGGAACATCCTGACACAGCATGTGAAACAGATGCTCTATCCAAAAAGCTGTGGAAGTATCTAGGATAGACTCTAGGATTGTTCAAAGACCAGGGTTTGTAGGAGCAGCACCAAACCCAGCGACAACATGGCAAGCCGCACCAAGTCCTCTGCATCACCCGTTAGAGAACTGAAGGAGACGGCCCTGCATGGATGCAGCAGCCAAAAACATCCCACAACCCGCACTCTGAAGAAGCCCGAAGCCTAAACCCTAAGCTGGCAACTCTCCCCGAGGCAGGCACGCCAGACCCAGCCTGGGGGGTCAATGCCGCAAAGGCTGCACGTATCGCCGCAGTGCCCTGGCCGTGAGTCGGAGAGGTCTCGGGTGACAGAAGATGCGGGCTTCGTGAGGCCTGGCAGAGCTAACCTTAAGGTCAGCGTTGTTGAGGTAATAGTCGACTTCAGAGGCTGAGCTTTGTCTGGGCTGTTTGGGGTCAAGGCTACTGACCAAGTCTTAAATCTCTAAACTGAACTCCGAACACTACATAAGCCCGAAGCGTCTAAGCCCGAGTCACAAACCCCAGAGACTGTTGTGATTAGGTGTTTTCAGATGCATCTATCGTGCCTTTTTTTACACTGATGACTTGATGATGCTGCTCCGTACTTGACGCATGAAGGTGCCATTTTCATGTTTCCAAGTTTCTTTTTTCAGGTGTCCTACCTTTGACCGGTATTGTGATTTCGCACTAGCCGCGCCATGGGCCCACATCATTGATTGGCCCGCGTGGCAACGCCGTAGACACGAGTTCGGTAAGAAGCCCTCAATTCAAGGTCGCCGTTGTACGTTGCAAGAATGCCTTACTCCTGCGAGGGAGTAGTTAAACCAGCTGACGAACCCAAGCTTGACAACATGACTGCATTCCATCGTTCACCGCTTAATGGGTTTGTGCGAGATGTGTTGGTGTGGTCTCCCTTGAACGATGCATATCTTCCAGATATCGGCTCGTTTCACATGGCTTCGCTCGTGGCGTAGGCCTCGCAGACGAAAACCCTGAAGCCTCCTTGAGGTGCAGACTTTGAAACGGATCGTTACCGCCACCGATCTGGAGACTGCCAAGAGCATGGCGGAAGCCACTCTCGGACCCTGGCTGGGTTTCAGTTCCGTTCTGAGGATGACGGTGCGCCTTAGCCTTAGCCCCAAAGCTTGAAAGTGCAGGAAGAGTCAGAATGCCGAGGATTGATAATTCAGAATTTGTGGTTGGACAGTGGTGGAGACTGTGTGTGTGTGTGTACGTGGACGTTATAGGTGCTGACTGGGTACCGAGGTCTCGTTCGGGCTTCGGACCGGCCACTGCAGGTTCAAAAGACATGTAAATATGGTGTAGCCGCGTAGCCGGCGGAACTGACCCTTCCTGCAAACAGACTCGTCGTTTACTGGTGCCCTCTGTTCACGGTTGCCCGTCTCTGGAGGACTGATGGAAGACCAGCTGCTTGACTGACCCGCGTATAGATGTTGTGGGTGGAGGGTTGGAGGGTCAGGGCTAACAGAAAAATAACACCGGAGCCTTGAGTGGGGAAGATCTTGGCTGGGGCACGAGGCAGCTCGTGTGCAACCCAGATGGCAAGATGCTGCTGCGAGAAATCATTTGTTTGCGGCTGTACTTGCATTCGGCGCGTGCGACTGCCCCACAGCCACACACTACGAAGCCTGCGCATGCCGCACTGAAGTGATCAGATTCTCCTGCCTTGGTAGCGCAGGATGCAAGTAAGAACATTCAGCGGAATGAGATCTCCAAGAGTCCACATTCGTTTGGTCATCCTCTTTGTCGCCAAAAGTCGCTTCCAGCTCTTGCATCGGGAAGCCCTGAATACCGTGAACTGTCAACCTGAGCATCGGCTGGCTTCGAAAGTTGCGATATGTGGCGTTGAGTTTGAGATGGTTTTGGTGCCGTTTCGTCTGCTGCTCTTCATGGTGGTGGTTGCCAGCGTGCTTCCATGATCTTCCATGTACATGTCGTGATTTTGAGCAGAATCTTGGGAAGCCGCATGCCCCAAATTGTGCTGCTGCCCGTATTGATACGGCTTTGAAGGTTCGACAAGGCTTGTGCAAGAGGTGCTGCATAGAACATCATTGCAGTCTGGCAGTGTCCAGTTCATGAACAGTTCATGTCTGGCCCGAGGAAGTTCTTCTTGGCAGTTGCTGCTAACGAGACCGACCAGGACATTTTGAGGTAGCCTTAGAACCCGTGTAGCAGCCTTAGATCCTTTCCCAATGAGCCCCACAGCAGGGGGCCAAAGACTTACAATGGGGAGTTCCCTGCATGCATCCGTTTTGCAGGTATATATATATATATATAGAGCGCACCCGAAGTACTTAGGCAGCACCCAACCGGTTTAGGGTAGTTCGCTCGAAGACCCCGAAGAGCCCTGCAGCAAAGGTGTTTCATACCTGCCCCCAGTTTGCAACACCCAGAATGCCTCGAGGGAATCCCATATGGTCTCTGGAACACTCCGGAATTCTTGCTGCTGTCACCGGTCAAAACCCGCTCCCAGCTGCCAGTACACAGCCAGAGCAAGGCCTACCAAACATCGCAGAAAACGGCTTTCTCAACAACCTACGTACTATCCCTCAGTCCTCAATCCTAGTCCCTCGCAGGATTCCGCAACTTCCATGGGTGTCGTCCGGCGGAAGGAGCCTCCTACAGCGAAATGTTGAGCGCTCGTAGGTAGTGGGGTTCCAGAAGCCCAATATACGGAACCCCTGGCAAGCGGGCAGGATGTGGAGTTTTTCCTAAAGCTGGGGTGCCTTGGGCCTTCGAGAAAGACCCAATACCCTAACTTCATCGATGCCCAAGTGTTGCGGAGGAGATGCGCGTTTTCTGTTTGCAGTTTACCCCCATAACCCTGATTTATAAATCCGGATCCTCCTCTAAGTTCGGGGTGTCAGCCCTCAACCTGAAGGATACCTCGGATGAGCAGGTCACCTTCCATCGGAGCGGAGGAGCATGTGGGGGTGTGCGGATATGCCGACTTAGCATCTTCTTCGAAAGCGAGGGCTGGTAGCACCCCGCCCTACTTATCACAAGTTGTATTCGTCATATTGAACAGCATATAACACTCACAAAGTGAACGGCAGCAAAGCCTTGTACTTCGTACATGCTTAGACTAGGGGTTTCTGGTTCGGGGCGTGGGATTAGGGGGTGTCTTGATTTTAGTTTCATGAATCCCCGGTTGTCTTAAACACATCAAAGCACGCCACCAGCCAGAGGAGAGAAATCTTGGCACCCCTACACGCCATTCCAGATGTCGAACCGGGACTCCAACGACTGGACGCGCATGCGCAAAGGAGGCACTGAATGCGGGATTCCGGCTGGGTTGTCGGGATTGAGGGTGGACGGTGAAAGCCGCATTTACTCCCCCATCGGGAAACCAAAGCCGTCAGATTGAAGGCTTCAATTGAATTTCATTCAGCATCCCCCACACCGCCATGCTGTTGTGAAGCACCGCAGCCAGTTACGTTCACACATGCGCAGCACAGATCGGAAGTCGATGAGAAACAAACCTGTGTGGAGGTGCCCCTTGATGTAAACCACTGCAAAGGTTAAAGGGCTTCTTGGTCGGGTTCCGTAAGTGACGAGCACGATCCTGAAGTGCCATACGCCTGGATCCACCAAGACTGTCGTTTCGATCCAGACCATTTTCGCAAGGTTGGTGGTTGCGGAGGGGCCCACGTTTCGATGCAATGCGCTACTGGCATCAGTTCTCGGACTTTGCTCCTTCGACGATCTTTGGCCAGGGTGTGGGAGCGGGGATGGATCGGTGTCACAGGATCCTGCCTTTAAATGCGATTTCGCTTTGGCTTTTCATGCGTACGAGTTTTCAGTGGTAGACGTGCAAGCAAAAAAAGCTTCTCAGCCTGCTGGTATCTACTGATGCAAGAAAATTTGACTTGACCGCTTACCCGCTTGCGGCTTCCCTGCAGAGTCTGTAGAGAATAGTATCCGCGCATGTATTGTCATTGTAAATAAAAATGTGGTCATATAGCTACACCTGCAAACTCGCCATGAGCATGTCTTGAAAGAGAAGAGTTGCTTGCGGGCCCGAAGCCGCAACCCCGTTTTTGAGTTTCTCGGATTCGTTGTCGCGCCCGGCGCACTGGACTATTGGTGCAGAGACAGGCTTACGAGGGCGTCGTAACAAAGCCGTCACTCTAAGCCCTGAAAGCCCTAAAGCCGCTGACTCGATTTTCCTAGGCGAGGTTTCCGGGACTGCAGTACTTCGTCGGGGGCCCGGCCCAACGAAGGGGTTGTGGGGTGTATAGATGTAAATATAGATATAAGCAAATGCATGAACAAACAAATAAGTAAACGCATAAGAAAGTACATATAGTAAACCATCAAACAGTACGAGGGGAGGGTTTAACTCGCATCTTGTTATTCTTGTTGAGGAAATACACATTTTTGAGCTCCACACTGGGGTTGAGCATTTCGGAGCCCGGCCTGGCATGCATCCAAAGATCAGCCGTCTCAGCATCCACACTGGGGTTCCGGTGGTGCGGACTAACCGGATTTTCTGGCCGTTGTTGTCGAAAAGAGCCTCGGTCACTGTGTTTGGTCGGGAATCAACACATCTCTCGGGTGAAGTGCTTCGAAAATGAATGCTGGGTACGCGGATCTTAGGGTTGTTCCGGCCAGCTGTGCTTCCAAAGTCAAAACTCGATTTGCAGATCTCGGGTGTATCGCGTCCGTTCTTCACAGACGGTTGCTTCGGCGTGAGCGTGAAGATTCTCTTTATCATGCTTCGGAGATCTGTAGCTACCAACTAAGAAGTAACCCGTGCCGGAAACACTATTGTCCGTGAACATATTCCAAAAGTAGTTAGAATAGAACAAACTTATTCAATGGCTGCCGCCACTGCCGCCGACCCAGGGTCTTGCGGCCCTGTTTTGCTGTAGTTGCAGCTCTTTTTGGCTGTGGCCGAAGCGAAGCGCCGAGGGCGGTGTGGCCGGTCGGGGGTGGTGGCGGTGTGAGCGGTGGGGGCGGAGGGGGTTCGGGCATCCAGCAACCAGTGAGGACGCTGGAGACCATGGAGGGAAGGCCGTGGTTTGGGCACGTTTTAGAGGCCTCTGCTGTAACTATTTCTTCACAAAAGGGCAAGCGCTGAGAGGGCAGTGAGGACGCTGGGGACGATGGAGGCGGGGAAGGCTGTGGGGTGGTGTGAGCGGTGCGGGCGGAGAAGGTTTGGAGTTTGGAGGCCTCTAACTGCTTCCTCAAGCCGCACTCACGCACGCACACGCACATCCACACACACACGCACCCACACCCACACACCCACGCACCCACACACCCACACACCCACACACCCCCACAAACACCCACACCCACACCATGGAGGTGGGGGGAAGGCCGTGGGGGCGGTGGGATGGGGTGGGCGGTGCCCAGGCGGCAGTCAGGACGCTGCTGGGAACCCATGCACATGTTGAGGGCGGAGGGGGTGTGGGCGAAGGGCCGAGGGCGCTGTGGCCGGGGTGGGGGCGGTGTGAGCGGTGAGGGGGTTTGGGCACGCATTGGAGGCTGCTAAAACAACGTCCTCACAAAAGGCAAGAACTAGCGTGGGGGCAGTTGGGGCAATGGAAGCTGGCTGAGGGCGGTGAGGCGAGTGAGGACGGGTGCTGGGGACAGGGCGCGGAGGCGTCTAAATACTTCCGAAGGGCTTGGGCACCCGAGCCAAGGGTGGGGTAGTTGAGGTGAGGCGCCCAGGGAAAAAGCCAAGAGCAGAGCCTTGGAAACAGCAAGAGAAACCTCTCGGGATGTCACAGGCGCCGCCCCAACGGGGTCGGCGGATGTAACATAACCGACATAAACTTTTGCAACATAAATATCATTCCACTGTATGGTATGATGTACGATATCATATATATATATATGTATATGTACAAGTTAAGAAACAAATAAACACGTCAACAAACAAACAAAAAACACAAGCAAACAAACAACCAAACACACAAACAACCATACATACATACATACATACATACATACATTCATGCATACATGCATACATACATACATACATACATACATACATGTGTATGGTAATATATATATATGTGTACACACACATACATACATACATATATATATATATACATACATCAAATCGAGAAGAAAAACGTATATGTGTGTATATATATATATATTTATATTTATGTACATGTATATGTATGTGTATATATATGTATATATATATATATATGCATTTGTATTATTTTCATTATTGCCAGTATTTCAGTATATACCGTAATATTCTATACTCAGCTTTACTATGCTATGGTATAGTATGCTAGATCAAGCTTTGCTCTGCCGTGCTTTTTGGTAGTGGAATGTAGTATAGCATAACGTGACATGATATGATAAGACATGATCTGCTACAATAAAATATGATACGATATAACATATTATACAATATAGCATAACGAAATGTAAGAAAACAAGTCAGTGAGCTCAGAGGTCACTCATTTTCTTAGCTTGCTCTTCCATGAGAATGTGGCTCTCAGAAATCCAGTGCCTACTCATTGTCTTGCTATTTTCTTAGCAAACATTTGCAGGGAGCAGGTGCTAACACCTCCAACATTCCACCTGCCTTCCTTGTAGTAGACAGTGTTAAGAAAACGAGTGCTCATGTTCTTAACCGTATGTGCGGCTGGATTTGGACCTGGGGGATGGGGCGGGGTACAATATGATTAAGAAATGAGTACTCACTTTCTTAAACCTTATTTACAGATGGACTTGGAGCATTGGGTTCGGGGGGGGGGGAAATCCAGGGGGAAAAGGGTGCTAAGAAAATGAGTACTCATTTCCTTAACCTTATTAACGGATGGATTTGGAGCATTGCGGTCTGGGCGGGCCCAAATCCATGTGGAGACAGGTGTCTTTGCAAAGCTGTCGAGAGGTTGTGTCTCCAACTCGTTTTATTCTCAATGATTGGGGCTTCAGGCAACCAGCAATCCTTGGAAGATACATGTAAGCCACTACTTGAGGAAATCAGTCCTCATTTCCCTCAACAAGAAAATCAGAGCCCCGGACAAGCACACACTTAAGAGAAAAGGATCCGAATGTCAGAGGGCACTCATTTTCTTAGTTGGAGGGGGGGGGGGGCGGGCAGTGAAAATGCATATATTTGGAAAATCCGGAGCACTGGTTTTCTTAGCCAGTGTTTTCTTAAACAGAGCCGGCACGGTATACATACAATACATGAAAAAATACAATTTAATATCCTGTACTATAGCATTGTGTAGTACAACTCAGTAAACTATGGTATAATACATTTTCTTAAAAGACTATAAATTAGCAAAATACAATACATGAAAATATACGGAAACACACATGTTTCTCTCCCTCTCTATGTATGTGTATTTATTGTTATGATGATGATGACGACTATTATCTTTCCTGCTGTTAGATAGTTCGAAGCACGGGGCCCTTCCTTATGATACTCTACTATTCGAGTGCTGTTTAGGACTGGGAAAAGATTTCCTCATCTTCTGTCCCGAAACCCTCGACCTCGGTTGCTGTTGAATGTTGAGGTGCCCGTTTAGGACATTCAGAGATGTTTCGTTCGGCGGAGGACATGGTCGCCTGAGTGAGCGTGGTACGCTGGTCACATGAGCCCATGTAGTCTGGCAGAGGACGTGACCATGCAAAGCCGGAACTGGTTCTCAGGTAGGGCATGGGTCAACAATGCACTGCGCCAGAGGCTTCGCAAAAGCCGTATACCAACCGGCAAAGCCTCACCACGCCTCTGATTCTTCTAAAGCAGTTTGAGATGCTTCGGTTCTATCTTTGTCGCCATTAAACTTGAAACCTCGAGTTGTTGAGCTGGGGCCGAGTAAACCTCAAACTGGCCCCGAGCCTTAAATGCTGTAAACCCTTTCCATGGCACTGGAGGCCAACATTCCAGAGCTCCTTTGCCGAGCGCAGTCCATCGATATCCCGACAGTTACTCAGGCCGATAGCCAGTCTAATGGGTTTGTACATGCAAGTGAGAATGTATGTATGTGTATGTACATGCATATGAACATGCAACAAATACATAAAGATATGAGTACATGTCTACATACTTCATCTACATGCGCAAATATCTATGTACATGCCTGTTATGCGCATGCACGGGTACGTAGGTGTGTACGCACATATGTACACACACACACTTGTACACACACTCCCATATGTACGCACATACACATAAACATACATATATGCATGTGCGCACACACACACGTACGTACATACGTACATACATACATACATACATGCATTCATACATACATTCGTACATACATCCTTACTGAGATAGATCGACAAGTAGACAGGTAGGTAGATAGATACAGTAGATGGACAGGTATGTACATGCATACATACACGCATGTCGTGTGTTCCACTCTGGACGAGGGTTTGGCGAAGACGGCATTTACAGTTGGCTCGAGGGTTGAGGAGTGCTTGCAGGGCTTGAGGGGTGGGGAGCCATCACAAAAGGATGCTTTTCCCCAGCAGGCGAGGTACTAGAGAACGAAGCCTTTAACCTTTACTAGGTTCCTGCCGGGGCTGCTGGCATGGTGCTGTTTGCACATGATGCAGTCATTGCTATTACGGCACAGGCGGGTCGGAGCGGATCATAGAGTCCGCAGAGGTTTAACAAATATCGGATGTCAGGTTAGCGTTTGCTGCCGGACCACTGTGCCTGTTTTCGTGGCAGCTTGTGTCTAGAAGCCGA